CGTTACAGCAGGCATAACAACAGCCGGTGTTTATTTTATTATTATATATAGTCGTTATTCATTTGTTTTAAAGCTCAATAAGGAAGATTTAAACTTTCACACACGTTGACCGGCGAAAAACTCTGCCCGGTTCCCTCGGCCCCCACCACGTTGAATAAACAGAAGGCTGCTTTTGTGGAGGAAGTTACAGCGCTACGTACAGGCTCGGCATATGTACTGCAGCTTTTTCCAGCAGTATCCATAAATCTCTTAATTTTGACCTCAAAGTGCATTGATGCATTTAACTTCAATATAAAGAAAAACATCTTCTGTTGTAACAACAATAACATTATAAATAGTAACATAGCTGAACATGGTATTGCACATTTAGCTTTCAGTGTTATTGACCTGAGATGTTTTTATTACATGAATTAAGGTGACTGAGGCTTTTTAACATAGACTTTTCAGTGTCCCACATACCCACATACCATTCACCATCCCCCACCCCCGTACTGTATGTTGATTTTTGACTTTGTTTGCCTACATGTAAATGGGTGGCATTTAGTACCTACCCCCCTCTGAGTGAATACCTGTTGTACCTGTCCGGGGCTAAGCCCATAGGACGATGCTCTGATGTCATCACCCTCGCACATTTGTCATATGTTTACAAAAAACGATGTTAACACTTTCTCGTTCTTAATATATGCTATATTTAGGGTCGATATGTGTTGAATTTACTTTAAAATAGCAGATCACTGTGACCGGATATAGTTTTTTCGGCTTAGTGAACGTGTGTCTCTTCCTCCGCGGCTTCTCCGTGCAGAGAGTTTGCAGCGGTGTGTGTCAGCAACGTGCAGTCAGGGGAGGCACGGATTGGCCGTCGGGAGAGTCGGGTCTTATCCCTGGCCAGCTGTGAGTTCTGGAGAATCACAGAACGGCCGGACCCCAGCGGCCCGGTTCGCTTACGGCCGACAACACCCCCGTTGACAATTCACGAGCGTCTAACTCTCTCCCCCCCGTCGCACCTTCTAACAGAGCCCCCCCACATATCAAATCCCAATTTAACCCCTGGCCTCTGGAGCAGAAATGAAAGAGTTTTAAAAATGTTTACGTTTTGGTAAATTTTTAGGGAAATGATGTAATATTGCAACGTTGGCCTTAGGTGGGAGGGGGCAGAATTTCTGTATTTCTACTCACATTGTCTGAATAAATATATTGAACAACTAAGGGTTACAACAACTGCAGGATTGATTGCTTACTTAGCCCTATATCAGTATATAGCATGAATAATAATCACACATCACTCATATTTGTTATGAATAATCATTTATCATTTATTAAATAGTAAGTCGCTTTGGATAAAAGCGTCAGCTAAATGCAATTTATGAAAGCCTCACTCAGGATCTTTTTACCAAGTGTTTTTATTGCTCTTGGGGCATTAAAAACAAGATTTTAACTTTAGTTTTTTATATAATATCTGCATTTTCTCTTGTGAAAAACTAAGTCTTAGTTTGGCCATAGTTATTTAATATATAAAGACTATATATTATTGAATTACAAGATTAGATATACTTTATTCGATCTAAAATATTGATGTGTTCAAATGCTCTTCTAAACAAAACTGAAAGTCCATGAAAAGCTGTCTTCCTGTTTCTGTGAAGGAAGCGCCATCTCCTGGTTAAATCCTGAAATTGAAAATCTGGCAACGCCCTCTTGGAAAATAGTGGGAGGGCTTAACATTCCCAGATACTGGTCTTTGGCAGGTAACTGGCAGGTAGTAGGCAGGAAGCAGTAAGCTGGAGTCTGAAATAAGATGCTCCATCTGTAGTTGATCAGAGCTGCCTGCCTGCCGTCAGATTTCATTTAAAAAACAGGTCTGATTTTAAGATCCTAAAATAAATACAAATATATATTTTTTCTAATATTGTTGTGGTCACGTGACTTTGTTTAAAATCCAAGGGTGTAACTTTGGTTTGAGAAAGGGGTCCTCCACAATTAAACATTTTTCCGATTTAATTCAATTTCCTGCCTTTCTACAAATATATTAGGGACTATGGTGTTAAAAAATCCAAGAAAAATGTGTAGTGTATAGCCCTCCGAGTCCTTTTTAAACAAACAAACAGTGACCATACCGTTCACCAGCCCCCACCCCCCTCTGAGTGACAAGCTGTGAAGTCAACAGATTGTCTGAGGTTGTAGGATTTCTGCCATGTCTCCACTTTAGTTTGACCAACTGTGTTAATAAGTTATGGAATACTAAATAAATAAGTAATTAGATACCTTACCATTACTGCGCTCATAAAGAATGATAAGAATAAGAATAATGCGTATTGAACTGGTTTAATTAATTAGTGAGTTTATTTAAGGTAATTAGGTAGAAGCCCTTTTTTATCAGTTGCGAATTTAGCAGTTGAACATAAAAGTCAACTGAGTGTCACTTGCAATGACAGTGTTGTGTTTTTATTTTATGAACCTTTTACATTAAAAATTGTTGTTGAATATATAAATATTATTATGAATATGGATAATTAGGCTATTTATTATAAACGTTAGTCCTTAACATCTATCACTGTGTATATCACCATTCTTTAATTAAATGTTTGATAAGTTTCTATGAAATAAGAAATGAATACAATTAAAATGTAATTATCATATCATATATTATAATGTATTGTATTATTAAGTAATATCATACATTAACCCCATTATAGCAGATGCCACATTGAATGGATGAACACATAATAGTATGCTTGTTTATCATAGGAACTCTTTAAAAGGGCTCCCTTTCACTCAGTAGTAGCCTAGTAACAGGGTGTGGGAGAAGAATTACCTTTTTTCCGCTTCCCGCATATTTCGCAACTTTTCGCATATTTCGCATATTTCGCAACTTTCCGCATATTTCGCAACTTCCCGCAATTTCACCGCATAAAATCACATAAAAACCCTGCATGTTTAATCGCATAATCAAGAACTTTAGCCCGCATAATCAAGGATTTTAGCCCGCATAATCAAGGATTTTTGCCCGCGTTTTTCTGGAGGGTCTAATTTATGCATCAATAATTACAACGGAGTATTTCTAAATACAAGTTGTAAAAATACTTATATGTATTTAATACTAATAACATAATGATTAATTTTACTTTCAGATGATAATACTTTTCAGGGTTAGGGTTAGGTCCGGTCTGACAGAGCTTAGCTCTCTGCTGCAGAGAGGAAGAGAAGATCACTGCTCTAAACAAAGTCAAAAATCGTACATCCAAACGGAATAAATATAATTAATTATTAATATGTTAAGTCTTGTTAATTGTTTTTCACTTTTATTAAATGTTTGATATTTCCGGCACAGACCCTTTCATACCGGCAATGCACGATAGAAACAACAGGAACTGCGACAGCATAAATATGCGAACACAAACCTACAGACTGCTGGAGAAGAGAGATCACAGGGGGGGTTGGGAGATCACAGTAATTCCGATCCGAGCCCAATCCGATGGCCAATTATGGCGCATTTCCACTACAGCGCGGAGCATGGTTTAAGAGGGCTGTGACGTCAGCGGCCCGTCTTTGGTTGCGTTTCCACTTGGCCTAGTACCGGCCGGCGGGTCCTAATTCACAGTTTTTCTGGCCTCATAAAATCGTGGGTCTAGGGCCAGAGACAACGAGGCTGAGTCGGGCTGAGTATGCTAAACTAGAGAGAGAATCGCTGGCAAGGGGGCTACAACTACAACAAGATGGACATATTTGACCGTGATTTAATTGTAATACACGTTTCAAAATGATGCCGAAGTAACAACATACTGATACCGGTTAGTAAAAACCATGAATTAATGCTTTGACAAGTCTGCAGACAGACGGCAGGCGAAAAACCTTTTAAAATGCGTGTTTTCTAAATGGAGATTAGAAATTGCTCCTTTCTGCAGTCATCGCCTATCGGCCAATATATGAACTGCAGTTTGTGGCACTTCCGTATTGGCGTCCCGGCTCTTCCCCAGAGTTTGCCGCTTGGTGTTTACATTAGCAAGCATCGCTAACGGACTGTCCACACAGCAGCGTTAAAAAATCTTGGAACGCTTCTGCCTATTCACTTTGAATGGGGTGACGTCACTTTGCCTCACTTTTCGCCGAACTGCATTGTGGGCAGCAGAGCGGAGATTTTCAGGATTTTCAGGATTCAAAGTTGAGCAATGTTCAACTTTTGAAGCTGAGGTGGAAGCGTCAGCCAATCAAATCCCGTGTATGCAAATCTGACAGTTCAAGCGCTAGCCAATCAAACCGCGTGTATGCTGGGAGAGACATACCGCAGGTCATTTCCTCATATTCCAAAAAATGGAGGAGAAATTAGCGGTAGGGAATCACCCGGTGCTTTATGACCAGTCCCTATTTACCTACCGGGATATAAACCGGAGGAGCCAGGCATGGAGGGAGGTGGCAGAGACAGTGGTAGGTTTTCGCCTGTTTGGGGAGTTTATATCCAGTTTACTTCGGGCTTTTTTGCTTCGTATGCCGGGGGCGGGAGATTCATGTGATTGGTTGTTGGTGCCTTGCTCGCAAAAAATCCCCAAGCTTCAGATACGCCCACCTCCAAGATTTTTTTAACGCTGCTGTGTGGACGGGACGTAACACTCAGAGCTAACGCTGTACTGGAGAGAATATGAGTAAAGAAGCCGGATATAAAAGGTACTGTCCTTGTGGTAATCGGCGAGATAGAAATCGTTTGAAATCCATACTGTTTCAGAAATAGTGCTTGATTTGGTTTGGAACATAATATGGCGTTTAATTAGGGCAGTGTTTAGCTGAGTTTCTGCCGGTAGACACCCTTCTCTTCACAGAGCTCACTGCTTGCATGCAAATATGGCATAATAGGTGAGCTTTAAATGTATACTAATAAAAACATATCTAAACCCCAAAACCTGTTTTGTATCAAGGTCCAAATGACAATGTGGTGAAAAGATAACTAATTATCGTTTAATTTTCTCTTCATCATTTATACCTCTCTTTCCCTCTCATCTCATCCTTCTCAGGTGAGACCCAGGTCTGCTTCAGGTACTACCATGGCGTCAGCGGAACACTGAGGGCAACGACACCCAGCATAACCATGAAGAAAGCTTCTGCACCTGTGAGTCCGACCAAACCTCATGGCTTTATTTTGACGTATGCAGCTTTCTGAGATGTATAATAATAATAACTAGAAAATGCATTTCCTGCAGAAAATGCGTGCGAATGCTGTAAACTGTGAACATTTGTGGCTGAATTTAGCTGAAAATGCAGAAAAAGCTGAATATGTTATTAGCTGAATGGTAGCTGCTTTTAGCTACAAAAACCAAGTAAGTGTGTTGCTGAACTTAGCAGAGAAATGCAGAAAAGTGAAATGATTTTAATCAAATTGTTACAGCTCAAATGCATTGCAATTACTTTGTTGTCCGGCAGTGGCTCAGTCAGTAGAGGCACAGTGTCAATGTAGTGGCCCACTCCTCCTAGTACTAGACTCCTGGTACTAGGATGGGTTAAAAGCAGAGAACAAATGTCACTGTGTGTGCTGTGTGCTCTGCATGTGTGACCATTGAAGAGGGTTTCATCTTTCCGATTCTATTCTATTCTATGTTGAAAACTTGAAAGTGAAATGTTAAACTGGAAGAGTAGGAAAAATAGTGAAGAAGCTTAATATTTAAAAGAAAAGGTTTAAAAAAGGTATAAACAATAAAATGTATAGCCTCAATGTCCTGAAATCGCTGAATAATTTAATAGTTGAATGGTTTATAGCTGAAAGTAGGCTTAAGGAGTTAAATAATGGGTTTCATTCTTCATATATACAGTCTATGGTTTCATTCCATTTCAAAGTGCTGTTTGACGCGGTGTAAACTTTGCGCACTGCCACTCCAACATCCAATCACAGAGCTTGAGAACTAATCACGGGGTTTGTCAAACAAAGCACATGGTGTAGTTCCAAACAATAGCTGAGGATTCTGGGTAGTGTAGTGTCTTCTGCCATCCTAAACTCCGAAAAAATATTTGTTTCTCCGAATCGAAGGGGAAAAACACAAAAGCATTGCACACAATTTAAACCAATCAATGTTGTGTAATTAACAAGGATAATCTGGTGTTTTTGAGTTGATGAGTAGTGCAGATATCACTGTAAAATCAATCGACAGTAAGGAGAGTAGTTACTTCCTGGTGAAATCCTCCGTTATCCAATGGGAATGGACGCTCACATTCCCTTTAAATGCCGCCGACATGGACCGATGCGGTGCTTCCCTGAGCGTCAAATACCGCCGCCGATGGGAATACATTGCAATCAGTTGAAAGCTCTTTGCGTCCGTTTATGTATATCGGCGCGTCCCAACTGCACGCCACGAGACCCTGACCAAGCGTCGCTCCTGGACGTTTAGGGAGTGAGAACAACAGTGTGTTGTTCACTGAAGTTATGAGAAAACCGTGTTTCATGGTTAGCATTGTGTTGCCATGGCAACGGCATTTGAAGAAATCTCAAAACTGTCCCATAGATGTCTTCACGGCTGGACTGTTAGCACACATGTGAAGTTTGAGCACTTTTTGACAATTTTCATAGGAGTTATAGCAATATCGTGTTTTATGGCGAGGGATGCGTTGCCATGGCAACAGCTTTTGAGGAAAACTCACTATTGGCACATAGACATGTTGAGGGCAGGACCATTAACCATTATCTGAAGTCTGCTGCTGTTTTGACCCTTTTCATAGGCGTTACAACGACATCTTGTTTTTTGGCGAGGGATGCGTTTCCATGGAAACGGCATATGATGAGATCTCAGATTTGGCTTAGAGCTGTTGAGGCATGGACCGGTGATATACAAGCGAAGTTTGGGGGACGATCGGACCATGTCCATTGGAGTTACAGCGACATCGTGTTTTATGGCGAGGGATGCGTTTCCATGGAAACGGCATATGATGACACCCCATAATTGACGTAGAGCTGTTGAGGGCAGGACCATTAACCATTATCTGAAGTCTGCTGCTGTTTTGACCCTTTTCATAGGCGTTACCACAACATCGTGTTTTATGGCGAGGGATGCGTTTCCATGGCAACAGCCTATGATGACACCCCATAATTGACATAGAGCTGTTGAGGGCATCACCATTAACCATTATCTGAAGTCTGCTGCTCGGAGCATGTCAGTTGGAGTTATGACATCATCGTGTTCCATGACACAGGTGTTTATATTTGAGCTATTGACGACAGCTGTGTGTGTGTCCAGAGATCAAAGGTTTCCATGGGGATGTGCAGTAATCAGTCAGAGGAGAGTCTTTCCATTGTTCTGAATGAGAGATAAGCCTCTTGCATTTCTAACTTTTGTTGAAAAAAAAATAATACAAACCTCCAGTCTGTCTGTGGGCATGTCTGCTCTGATTAGATGATGTCACTCAGGTGTGTGGGCCCAATCTGCCCAGCAACACCATGGTTACCAACTGCATTGAGGATTATATCTGACAATTTTGCCACCTGTTCAAAAACTATGGCTCCAATAAAAAAATTAACAGACCGTGAGCATCAGGGAACCCCAATGTGTTGTTTTTTGGGGTTTTGTGTGGTAAATGTGAAGATGAGAGCAGTTTGTCTAAAGTGTACTTCTCTCTGTTCTGAAGAAAGATCTGGATGTTTTTAACATGGGAATCAATTGGGAGCTAGGTGGACTTTTTGTCTCTTCATGCCCTCAAGAGGCATTTTGTTTAATATTTTTTCTTAATTTTTTTATATTTTCCAACCTAGGAGAGGTTTTCCGAAGTTTTTCATGAAAAATTATGTCCGAGGAGTGTAGGGTTTGGAAATTATGGCAGGTTTAAAAAATGTTTTGGGGCGAATTTCAAGTACCCCTCCACTCTGTTTTGAGATCAAAGCACTCTAGACTTAACGAGCTGCTCCATCCACACTAATGTTAAAATATGAAGAAAGCCTCTTTACCAAGCTCCAAACTAAGTTAAATATCTCAAAAAGTGTAAAAGATATCAAAAATCTGAATAAGAATTGAATAGCTGAAGGTCTTGTGATCACTTTAAAGTTGGAATGAATTCTCAAGCTGAAAGTATGTGGAAGGAGAAGCATTTGGCGTAAGATGTAGGAAAAGAGGATTTGAAGAGTCGTCCCATTGACTTCCATGTTAAAAAAAGAGTTTAAAAAGCAGAATATTTCAAAAAGTATAAAATATTTTTAAAAAGTTGAAGGTTTCCCATCGATCGCTGAAAAGGCTGAATAGTTTAATATTTGAATGGTTTCTGTAGCTGAAAATAAGCTGAAGTTATGGAGAGCTAAAGTATTGGCTGAAATAATAATAATAACTAGAAAATGCATTTCCTGCAGAAAATGCGTGCGAATGCTGTAAACTGTGAACATGTGTGGCTGAATTTAGCTGAAAATGCAGAAAAAGCTGAATATGTTATTTGCTGAATGGTAGCTGCTTTTAGCTACAAAAATGCAGAAAAAGCTTAATATTTAAAAGAAAAGGTTTACAAAAACATGTATAGCCTTGATGTCCTGAAATAGCTGAATAATGTAATAGTTGAATGGTTTCTGCAGCTGAAAATAGGCTGAAGGAGTTAAATATCAGATGTAAGTAGTAGTGAATGAATTTGTATTAAGATGAGAAAAGAAAGTAAAAAGGCTTGGGAAAGCAGCAGAATATTTGAACTACAAACTTTTGAACTAACTTGATGGTGAATTATCTGTCGCCATGGCAACGGCATTTGATGACACCCCATAATACGCTTAGATGTGTTGATGGCTGCATCGTTACCAAACCTGTGAAGTTTTGGGCCATTTCGAGCATTTTCACTGAAGTTATGAGAAAATCGTGTTTCATGGTGAGCATTGTTTTGCCATGGCAACGGCATTTGAAGAAATCTCAAAACTGTCCCGTAGATGTCTTCACGGCTGGACTGTTAGCACACATGTAAAGTTTGAGCACTTTTTGAACATTTTCATAGGAGTTATACATTACATTAGGAGGTTACATTACTCTCTCTCTTCTCTTGATCACCCTCTCAATCTTCTATCGCCCTCTCTCTCTTCTCTTGATCGCCCTCTCTCTCTTCTCTCTCTCTTCTCTTGCTCGCCCTCTCTCTCTTCCCTTGATCGCCCTCTCTCTTCTCTTGATCGCCCTCTCTCTCTCCTCTTGATCGCCCTCTCTCTCTTCTCTTGATCGCCCTCTCTCTCTTCTATCACCCTCTCTCTCTTCTCTTGATCGCCCTTTCTCTCTTCTCTTGATCGCCCTCTCTCTCTTCTCTTGATCGCCCTCTCTCTCTTCTCTTGATCACCCTCTCACTCTTCTATCACCCTCTCTCTCTTCTCTTGATCGCCCTCTCTCTCTTCTCTTGATCGCCCTCTCTCTCTTCTCTTGATCACCCTCTCACTCTTCTATCACCCTCTCTCACTTCTCTTGATCACCCTCTCACTCTTCTATCACCCTCTCTCTCTTCTCTTGATCGCCCTCTCTCCTCTTGATCGCCCTCTCTCTCTTCTCTTGATCACCCTCTCACTCTTCTATCACCCTCTCTCTTCTCTTGATCGCCCTCTCTCTCTTCTCTTGCTCGCCCTCTCTCTCTTCTCTTGATCGCCCTCTCTCTTCTCTTGATCATTCAGCATCATCGGTGTGTGTCTGTGTGTGAGAGAGAGAGAGTGTGTGTGTGTGTGTGTGTGTTATACATTACATTAGAAGGTTACATTACTCTCTCTTCTCTTGATCACCCTCTCAATCTTCTCTTGCTCGCCCTCTCTCTCTTCTCTTGATCGCCCTCTCTCTTCTCTTGATCACCCTCTCACTCTTCTATCACCCTCTCTCTCTTCTCTTGATCGCCCTCTCTCTCTTCTCTTGATCGCCCTCTCTCTCCTCTTGATCGCCCTCTCTCTCTTCTCTTGATCGCCCTCTCTCTCTTCTCTTGATCACCCTCTCACTCTTCTATCACCCTCTCTCTCTTCTCTTGATCGCCCTCTCTCTCTTCTCTTGATCACCCTCTCTCTCTCCTCTTGATCGCCCTCTCTCTCTTCTCTTGATCGCCCTCTCTCTCTCCTCTTGATCGCCCTCTCTCTCTTCTCTTGATCATCCTCTCACTCTTCTATCACCCTCTCTCTCTTCTCTTGATCGCCCTCTC